TAGAACGATCGCGCGACCGCGCCTGCCGCAACAGGCCAAGGCAGCTGGAAAATACACTCAGGAAACCAGACAGCCATCGGCGTGCGCTGCTGCATTGAGTACGCGTGAAACCTTCGCTCACGCGTGTGGCCTAAATATTCGAGAAGTTTCCGCGTGCGGACCTCAGCATGTGGAATGACCAATCAATGTGTGACACGTCGTCGGCCGTAAAGTTTCAGAAAGTTCCCCGCGATTGCTATGTCACTGGCCGGAATGTTAGAGAACAGCCTTAACTCCAATAAATAAGCGAGAGGTGATGGGCCAGAGAGCAACTGTTTTAGCAGGCCTAGAATGAAGTGATTTTTTTTTCAGAACTGGCTCCGCCTTATTTTCTATCAAACACATTGGACGAGAACACGAACTCATCACTGCATTAAATCTATACAGAGTCACTAGGGCATACTGCTTTCTGCCCGAGTTGCTATTGGTCTTACAACTCGTTTGAGTGAACATGAGATAAGAATCCCTGCCAGACTCGGAGGCAAAGGTGGTTTCAAAGTTCATATTTGACTGACAATTTACAGTTATTGTCCTCGTCAGAAGCCAGAACGCGAATTCTAGAAACCGGACGGGAATCAGGAGACGGGATTGCCGGAGCAATAATTTAATTCGTTTAAGGGGCTTAGTTCACATTTTAGCTCATCTTCGAAGAAGACAAAAATCCCATATTTTTTACTCTTGCGGGTGAGATTCTAATACGAATCCGAAACTGCGGCAAATAAAACTTTTGCTTCAACGATGACGTCAGTTCCCAATCTAGTTGCACTCTTGATCTAATTATTACGCTTAATTGTCTCTGTTGCCATGTAACCCCCGCCTAAATATTGTACTTTAGCAGGGAGACTACCAAGCCAGTTTTTTTTACAAAAGCGTATTGAGCTGAGCTTCGAAAACCCTGGAGACAAGGAAAGTGACAGGGACTTATTTTTGGGAATATTACGATTTCTACGATGAGGCACTCTCACAGAAAAGCACGCGCATAAGCCGTCACGCTGCCAGCCACAACAGAGTACTCGGCAGCTCCCCGGCTTGGCAGTAGGGACAGAGCTATCGGCAGGCCTGATTGGTCCAGATATGCGAGAAGTTGCTCAGCTCTTCTAGAGTTTCCAATTCCAGTGGATTAGACAGAACGTAGCCAATTGGAACGGGATGCTATCAACACAGGCAGCCTTTAAGTGAGAATGACTTACTGTTTGGAACACAGTTTCCCTCGTGACTGATTGTCTTCTCTTCCTCTCCCATGGGGGCCTTGGGGACAATAGTCGGCAAGCGTACAGTTCGTTTTGATTATAAGTACCAGGCGCGGGTCGTTACAATTAGCTATGTACTTATGCGCAAATCCGATTCCTGCACAGGTGTTTAGACAATAATGTGTTACCGAAATGTGTTTCGTACAGACATCCGGTTAATACAGAATTGGCGAGACGCAAATAATTTCAGCACTGAGATGTATGATCCGAGTGATCGTTCAAGACTGTCACGCGAGGCTTCGCAAGTTTCGTCAGAGGATCAAAGAAGAGAAGGCAAAATGCCTTGAGTGCATAGGCGAGAATACTAAACAACTTCTCCAGCAGAGGGTGGCCAAACGAGCCCACGAACACAAAACGAAGCGAGAAGCAGCACTTGCAGTTAAGTTTCGCAAGCTGCTTCATTCAATGTCCTTCAAAGATGACAAGCTGGTGCAAAACCTGTCATCCAAGGAGCTGACAGATGAACACATGCAGGTGTTAAGGCATGAAGCCTCATTCAACACAACTGATGCCGGGCCTGCTAACATGGTTGCTGCAGTTGAATCAATTCTCAGCCAAACAGAAGCGATGGACGTAGCGAAGAACCTTATACGGCACCAGGTGTCGTCCCTCCTCATGGCACATCGACCACGCGACGCTCTCTCCAAGGTCGAACGTAAGGCACCTAAAGAACTCAGAGCCGACAATGACCTCGTTATTGTGCCGGCGGACAAGGGGTGGTCCACTGTCATTGGACAGGACCGACTACAATTACAAAGCTCAAAATCTGTTAGACGATCGTCAGTCCTACGTCACATGCAAATCCAACCTTATAAAAACGCTGACACGCGAGCTCAACACAAGGCTGTTGGCGATGGAGAACTCAGGTGGAATATCGCCAATCGACTGGCGCATGGCAAGAGCGCAAGAACCGGCCCTGGTCCGCTTCTATGGTCTCCCGAAGGTGCACTAAGTAGGCGCATCCCTCCGGCCAATTGTATCGCTCAAAGGAACTCAATCCTACGGACTGGCAATGTGGCTGTTCCGACGGCTCAAATTCCTGACCACTCATTTAGACACAACAGTCAGGTCATCAACGCAATTTCTGGAGAAACTTAAAGGGGTAAACCTCCTGCCAAACGATATCATGGTATCTTTATATGTCACGTCGCTTTTTACTTCTATTCCACAGGAACTGGCCGTCGAGACTATCCAATCACCCCTACGAGAGAAATTTGATGAAACGAAGAATCGCCTCGGGTACGCCCAAATCCTCCAGCTCCTAAATTATTGTCTCAAGACGTAAGAGACTACGAGCAGGTGAAGTGCACGCCCATGGGTTCACCAATTTCCGGACTCATAGCAGAGGCGGTCCTGCAGCGGTTGAAGTCGCTGTTTGTCCGACACCACAGACCGAAATGTTGGACTCGGTATGTGGACGACACTTTCGTCGTTATTGAGCGGAAAGGTGCTGACATTCAAGGAACGTCTAAACGCCGTATTCCCGGACATTCAATTTACGATAGAGGAAGAAGATAACAACCAGCTGGCCTTCCTGGATGTCCTCGTTTGCCGCAAAAACGGTGGTGGCCTAAAAACTAAAGTGCTCAGGAAAGCAACCAAAACTATGCAAGTCCTTAATTTAACAGCAATTATCCGATCAATCACAAACGCAGCTGCGTCAGAGCGCTATACCGGCGCGTTGAGACGCATTGCACCGAAGTAGAAGACAAAGTTGCTGAATTACAATATTTTTGACAGGTACTGAGAGCGAATGGTTACCCGCACAATTTCGCCAACCAATGAGCACGCAGATGAGAGGAAACCATATCCAACTGCCCCAAAATTCGGCGAGTTCTTCCATACGTGAAGAATGTATCGGAAGCGGTCAGCCACCTGCTCACCCCACTTGGAGTTGGAGCTGTGCACAGGTCAGAAGCAGCTATCAGGCGCCGGGTCATGAGACCGAAAGACCCACTGCCACAGCAGGAAACGG